TTTATCAGATGAATTGATATTTATTTTCATACATTGTGTATTACATCTTTCATTTACTAAAAGTGTTGATAATCAAATATTAAGCGTAGCGTCGACGCATCGTCACCTCCTGCCCCTCGAAGCGCCAGCCAGTGTCTGCTGTATCCAACTCATGTAGCTGCTGGTTCTGGTGTAGACGCCGGGAAAACCGGGCTTGGCGCACTCGTAGCCAAAGGAAACAATGCCCAGCAGATAGTAGCGATAGATGCTGCCGTCCAGCTAAGATGATAAATAAATACATGGCATGATCATAAAGTTAAGAAACATATGAAAAGAAATGATTGTTTGTCGTGTGAGCTCCCCCCCTTGGTGAGATGGCAAGAAACTCAATCACCTTGGGGGATTTGTGGCTGATTTGGTGGCTCAATCAAGACCAAAATAAAAATGTAATTAAATAAACTGGTTCATTGCTGAGTCAGCCTGACGGACAGTGTAACTGACCTGCGGCAGCATTAATGGTCCGCCGGAATCCCCCTGACAGGCGTCGACTGTGGAGCTGCCAGCGCAAATTAGCTGCAAGAGAGGGAGAAAACAGATCGGAATCGTAATCAGATGATATGAGATAAGTATAGTATAAATTATTATAGTATCGCATATGCAGATTGGATTACTGTAGAAGACATCTCCCATCCACCTCTCACACCTTCCTTCCCATGCCCTTTCAATGTGGTTTACCTTGTCGCTGAATTGAACAAATTGAAAGACAGATTTGTAGCTCTGCTGGCAGCTCTGCCGTGAGACGATCGGCACCTGGGCATCCCGCAGCACATTGGAGGTGGCGCCCTGATGCTGCGTGGCCCCATAGCCGGCCACGAAGGGATTCATGCCCACGAACTGATCCTCAAGCTGAAACCGGCTCGACTCTGGCAGGCAAATGGGTCGAATGTCAGCTGGGGAAAATCCAAAGATATAATTAATAGGAATACAAGGGATATACATGAATATATATAGTATAAGGAATGAATAAAATTCTCCTAAAATAAAAGCTGAGTTAACAGGGAGATAAAACCCTATGGACTCTTATCCGTAGTGACAAGCGAAACTACTCTACGCTAGATGGCGCCATACACTTCCAAATAGAATCGAACAAAGTAAAATGAAACAGAAGCAAGACCTTAGCCAAACTCAAATATGTAAAAGTAATATAAGATTTTGAAAAATAATTTAAATATAAATAGAGTATAAACTATTGGCTGAACTATGAAAATATAGTATAAGAGATTAATAGCCTACATAAATTAAATATTAGAGTTTACAAAACCAATGAAAATATAATATTATAAGAGTTTGACAAAGGATTTCCAAGTGCGTATAAGATTTCACAATTTCGCCGCTACTCACCAGTAGATGGCGCTTCGCCATTCAGCTCAATCAGGGCAATATCATTCGCAATGGCAGACAAATCGAATTGCGGATGCACAAGAGTGCGTCGGATGCGATAATCCATCACACCCGCCTCGCTGGGATTGGAGAGATCGCGAGCGCCCAGGCGAACCAGCGCCAGCATGGAGTTAATGCAATGCGCCGAGGTCACAACAAACTGCGAACTGATCAAGCTGCCGGCGCAAAGAAATTCCAAGCTATTGCGATTGCCATCCTTAAAGTAGCCCAGAGCAGCCATCCAAGGATAGGCACCTGGTGGAAGAGGAGGCTTGGGTAAGAGTGAATGAGCTTCTGGGATAGATGCTCACCTTTGCGAACGGGCAAGCCGCCAACGACTCGATTTGTGGTGGCGCCACCTATGCCACAGCCGCTGGAGCTGATGGAGCTGCTGGCGCCGCCACCTGGCTGTGAGGGGAAGACAGGTAATGGTACAGGACCAGGAGCAGGAGCTGGTTGAACTGGCGCAGCTGGAGTAGGACGCAGCACAATTCCAGGTTGATTTATTGGCGGCGTGGGCTGAAAGACAGTAATGGGCGGAGGTGGAGGCGTGGTCGGTCCACTCAGCGAGGAGAACGAGAAGCCGACAGCTGGCGCAATTTGCTTGGGATGACGGCTGGCCGTAGGCTCACGCATCGTGGCACAACAAACCTGGAAAAACAGCCTCAACTCTTTAGCAAACGTCAAGGAGCAGGAAACTGGGGAGGAGGGGGGGGATTTACCAAGAAGCTGGCGCCATCAAAGCCACAAATGGACTGTCCGAGAAACGTGTGAAATTCCTGATCCGCTGTGCCCGTCTGATACTCCTGGACGAGATGCGAGCAGCTCGTCAGAGGAACGCAGCTGCCGGGGCGAGCGCGTGCATCATTGCAGCTCTCTGGGAGCTGGGGCTGGGCTAGAATGAGTTACAGATGGAGCTCATGGTACAGTTTTGGATTTGGGTTGGGTGCAAGTGCAACGATCGATTTGGATATTCAATTTGGTTTGTTTTTATTGCGCAATCAACTACAACTATGTGAGGGGAGGGGGGGCTATGGGAACTATGTGAGGGGAGGGGGGGCTATGGGAACTCGATTGTGTAACTAGTGGAATCTGATGCGACGACGCCGACGATGTCGACTCGGATTGAGCGGCATAAAGACCATGATATCCGAACCCATGGGCATGCTGGAAGCCTGCTGCTGCTGCTGCTGCTGTCGTGGATCGATGCAGGGGCAATTGGGCAGCGGAGGCAGTCCGCCGGGAAGGCAAACGAAAGGCGACGAAGGACACGTCGGTGCGGGCAATGTGGTATCGGCTGCGGTTGTTGTGATCACGCCCGCTGTGGTTGTTGTGGTGCTGCTCGCTGTGCTGGAGGTGGTGGTGGTGGTGGTGGTGGTGGTCGTGGTGCCGGCAGTCGTTGTGGTCGTGGTGATTGGCTGCAAAGGCGGCGTCGGTTGAAACGTTGGGTACACTGCATTGGACGTGGATGTGGGCATTAATGGCACTTGAGCTGGCGGCACGGGCAACGGATAGACCGTAAAATAACCTGTGGGATACGCCGGACACAAGCCCTTGATGCTGGCCAAATACGAGAGAAATGGCCAGAAATAGACCTTTACACAGAACTCGTCCAGCAACATGCTCCAAGTATTTGATGCAATCCGATCCGATGCGTGCAGCTGCCCCAAGTGTTAGGCGCCAACTGCTCCAGAGCTGGCCAAAAACTCAATTTTTCAGGCCAACAACTGAGTCCATTTAAATTGCATTGCAACAAATTATATCAAATTTAATTTAATTCGAATGTTTTGTGGACTTTTCGCTTGACTTTTTACGGAACGGAAGCGCAGCACACAGGGCCGGTTCAGTGGCATCCAGAGCTTTGGGCCCGCAGCAATAGTGAGATTTTTGTATGTGAATAGGTTATTGCATGCAGCTGATGTCACTGCTCCCCACGCTCCACTACTCCACTACTCCACTACTCCGCTGCCCGCTGCCCCGCACATTTCCCGCTTTTGCCATGCTTTGTTAGCTTTTCGGTAGCAAAAATTAAAATAACTGGGCCACTGACGCTTGACATCCGATTAACTCGGGCGCTATCAGCGATCGTGTTAACTGCTATTTACATGACACAAATTTCCAAGCAGAATATATTCGAGGCGCTACTAAATTAAGTCACATATTTGTTTATGCATTTGTCACGATCGCAATCGAAATCGCAAATGCCAGAGCTTAAAGCTCTACATATAAAAGGGATCAACTTACAGTTCACCAAATCGAACAGCCAGACAAGGCATATCCAGAACTCCGGGCTCCAGCTATATAGTTTATAGAGTTTTCCCATTGCTCCGGACTCCAACGCGACGCGTTCCCCTTTAAACAAACTTCAATAATGCACTGAGCTATGGGCGCTACGACGACTCCGAACTTAAAATAGAAATGAATATCAAAATAAATAAAAAAGCAGTACAATTATTTCGATTTATGATGGTTTAATTGGCGCAATTTTCAAATTAAATCTAATCATTTGATTAACATTTGACAGCATTACAAAAAATATGTGTGATGACAGTTGAGTTGAACTTGAAAAAGGTAAAGCACCTGTTGAACTCCCCACATCAAGGTCTATCTAACTATACATAGTCATATGCGGCGAGCATATCAGCTAAACATAACTGGATTTATATGAAATATTGACTGAATGACTGATAATTAGTGGGACGTTAGCATTTACCAAAGCTTTTCATTTTTTTTCCTCCAAGTGTTTTCTCCAATTATTTCTTCAAAGTATTTCTTCCAAGTTGTTCGTCGAAGCATTTCTGCTAAGAGTTTCCTCTAAGCATTTCTTCTTCTTCGATGTATTTCTTCTTCTTCGATGCTTTTCTTCTTCTGCGATGCATTTCTTCTCATTCATTCATTCTTCAAAGTCTTTTAATATTTTCCTCTAAGTCTTTTCTCGAAGTAATTCGAAGAATTTCCTTTAGGTATTCCTATAAGTCACTTTATTCATTTCACTTCACTTCATTTCATGTCACTTCACTTCATGTCACTTCACTTCACTTCACTTGACTTCACTTTACTTCACTGCACTGCCCGACTGACCCCACAGAGTTTGGGTGACTGAAAACATGCTGCAGCTGCTGCTCTTTATATAGGGCGACCTTCACTCACAGCCTGGGTAGCTCTCAAATGAGAAGACTCTCTGCAGTTAACATCGTTTTACTTCAATATAAATAGGAAATGAGTACTGCTGCATACACACAGAGAACTTAAATGATCTGGAGTGGTTCTTCGGCAGAAAGAGACAGTACAAAATGGGCAGGGAGACAGAGAGACATACAAACAGATATACATATACATATGTATGTAAATAATTTATACAATATCTATATATGTATTTTCGGATGCGCTTATTTATTGAGTTTTTGGCTTCTTAGTTAGGCACAGTTAGATTAAAATAATATTTCGGTTTACATTGAGAGAGACGAAACGGAAAATTGGCTCTAAATCTAAATGCCGACTACGACTACCTCGTGTACTCGTACATACAACATGCATACATCGAATATGAACTATGTATATAGAGTGGAGTATTGGAGTAGATAATTTGTATTTCTCAGTGTTGTCCGGTGGCGATCCTCGTCGATTTATTCCCGGTGCTTGCAGTCGAGAAAGAGTTGCGCCTGCGATTGAACGAATCGAAAGATTTCGAGCAGCATTTCGTTGGAGGTCTTGCAATTGCCCTGCTGTGGCTCAAAGAAGCCACCGGCACCACCAGCACCACCCACCGAACGTTTGCCCCAATCCGGCGAGAATGTCAACTGAGGGAGGCAAAATATATATGTTACACTGAAATACTTCCAGAATTGAGATATACTCGGATTCACCTGACATTCCACACAGGCCAGCAGGAAGAAGAGCACAGCGACAATGAGGACTTCAGTCTTGCAGTTCATCTTGGTTACTAGGAGCTGTAATCCACTATGAGCTAGAAACCACTTGAGCGCTGCTTTTATAGCTCTCTGGCAGACCAAGTTGCCGCAGACGGTTCAATTAACTGAGGACACTTCTAAGGATGCGCTGGCATCAGACAACAGATGCGGCGCCGCAGCTCTGACGTCATTCATATACAAAGAGATCAAAGTACGAATTTCGTATTAAAGTCATATGTGAATATATGCTAGGTATACACAGATATATATATAATATATAACAATTGATGCAGCTACTTGGGTTGTCTATATATTCAGCCGGATATAGGATTACTCGGAATAATACTCTATGAAGGAAAAGCTTAGATAGCTTATAGTGAATGGACTAACCGACGTATGGACGAACGAGGAGAAGTACGAGCTTTGCACCAACCAATATACGCTTTTCCATTGATTCCATTAATAACAACATTGACCAACTCTCCCCACATGCAAACTCTCTTAAAAACTTTAAACTTCTCATCTTTTCGACTAAGTGGAACCCTAGGCATCCGACTCTATGGCTAGACATGGCTCAACTATTTCTAGTTTCTAAATTAATAAAATTGCAACATTTTGGAAGCATTTGTGATTTGTATGTATTTATTAGAATTGCGCATATGTATATATATATATATATACTTTGTATGAAATATATATAAATAGGTATATAGTATTAAGAATCGTTAAATTAAGCAGTGTAGTAGTAAAACAAAGAATATTTATATAGTATATATACCATACATATAAATGTAATATAAAAGACGTTACACACTTTGTATAAAAAAAAGAAAAAGAAGAATAGAATTTTATAGAGGTTTACAAAATATTATTGTATTGTGCGTTTTTATCAAATTCCTTTCGTTTTATAAATATTTATATAATGCTAAAATTATGACAAGAAACAATTAAAATTGTTCATTTCTCATTATTATTTTTGTTGTGCTTGTGTGTGTTTTGTTAATTATATAAATTGTATTTATTTTGTTGGTTTTTTTCTTTTCGTATTTTTTGTTATCAATGCTCTGACTAAATGCAACGAGAACGAGGCACTCAATTTGTTATTAAACACAACACAATCTTTGATTACGCGTAACAACAAAAATCGAATCATATATATTATGTATATATATAGATATATATTATTAGTAAATAACAATACAAATTACAATAACACATTAATGTTTGGCTTAATCGAACATATTAACACAAACATTCAAAAACTTGGCGTCAATTACAAAAATTTCTCATCAAACTTTCTAATCATAAAAACACTTTTTGTCCTTAATTGTTGCACATTTGATCAACAAATAATATTACAAAAATATATATATATATCTATATATATTTTCATGTGTGTGTGTGTTTGTATATGTTTTATAAATGTTCATATATATATATATATGTATGTATGTATGTAGGTATGCAAGTATTTATGTAAGTATTTATATGTAAATGTGCTGTGGACTTATTGAGTTTGCTTTGCTTAGCTTTGCTTTCGTTTTATCCTTTTGCTTTTGTTTTAGTTAGTTAGTTTAACTGGCGAGTGGGCGTGGCATGAGCTTTTAGACAATTCATTTTATGTTCAGGCAGTTCACAAAATGCAATTCGTTGGGTTTCTGCTATAGCTGGGATTACTTCGGTTTACTGGGACATCGGAATCTCTCTATTTAGCTCAGTCGACGCGCATTATTAATTAATTATAAAAATTTTGGTGTTATACTCGTTACATCGTATCCTTTCTCTTCTCGATTCGTGGAGATTCGTTTTGGCTGCCCACTTTACATAAGGCAGCACTTCTTCTTGCCCTTCTTTTTGAAGCCCTCCTCAATGTAGGGTCGCTCGGCTATTTGAAATTTGCGCACAATGCGCACCAGCTCGTGGAACGCCTGATCCACATTCACTCGCAGCTTCGCACTACATTCAATATAGGGTATCATTAGGTTTCTGCTGGTATTTTGTGCCTCTTCCAGCGAGACATGACGTTGATGCTCCAAATCGCATTTGTTGCCCACCATCAACATGGGAAACTCATCACGATCCTTGACACGCAAGATTTGTCGTTGAAATTTGGGTATTTCATCGAAGCTGGAATGATCATTCAGCGAGAACACAAGCAGGAAACCCTCGCCGGAACGCATATACTGTTCACGCATTGCACTAAATTCCTCCTGGCCAGCTGTATCCAGAACTGTTAAAAAATTTCAAATAAATTAACGATATACTTATGTATACATTACTTATATATCTATCCACTCACTATCCAATTTGGCGGGCACATCATCAATCACACATTGCTTCGTATAGGAGTCCTCGATGGTTGGATCATAGTCTGTGACGAAATAGCTCTGAAATAGTACAGAATAAATGTATTAATATACTGTGAATAATTTTGATAACAATTGTGAATTTTAGATTAGATTGAAATTATATATTTATATTATTATATAAGTCACATATGTATTTTATAAATTATTTCTCTTGCAATTTAGTTAAATATAATGCAGATTCGGACTATACATATTTGTATATATAAATTTTATATTTGAATTTCGTTTATAATTTGTATATTTTTTAAATATTAATTTCGGTCATTCTTGCTTTATTTTTAATTATTTTTATTATTTTAATTTTTTTAAAAATATGTCGAAAATTCAATGTCATTTATATATACACATTTTAAGTTTAATGATAATTTAACCACTGTGCAGTAAATAAAACCTTTTGAAGCACTTTTTGATTTGTTTACACACAGTTTAATGCGCTACTTCAGTTGATGAAAATCTTGGCATACATAAAAACAAATGTTTATGCATGTGTGTTCGTGTGTGTGTGCATATGGTACATATATATACTAATCGTATATATATATGTGAATGGCTGTGGCATGGGCATATGAGGATGACGCAAATAACTAAAAATAAATATTGCTAGGCGCATTGCCACATTTTGTGAATGGTGCGACGGACGAATTAAGAATGAGACCGTGGTCGTGACCATGGCGAACGCCCCGTTAGATTGACCTCAACTCCGTACGCTCCTCACAGACACAGTCGCAGTATCCATTTAGGCCGCTCGACTGGGCAACGCCCTTAATACATGCCGATTTTCCATTTCGAATTGAATTTTCTATGAAAATACATTTCAACTTGATTTCGATGCGCTGATCTATGCTCAAAAATATGTAGCTCACACACACATATATGTATATAAGCATACATATATATGTATATTGCCAAACAAAGTAAGTCGCTTGTTGCTTTTGCCAAAACAAGGGTCCAGCCCACTTGTTACGTTACGCCGCGCCCCTCTGTTGTTGCGTTGTTGGATTTAGAGGTGCGCTACGCTATATATCACCGCTAAAAGTCACTGTCATAACGACGTCAAGATCACGTTTTCACACCAATGCGCAACACTGTTGCGTTTGCTTATACAGCAACATAGACAACGACGACGACGTCACCAGATCTTTTCATCTGCCCCTCACCTGTATGAATTGTATCGTTATGGCAGATTTTCCAACGCCGCCACCACCGACGACTACCAGTTTATACGTTTGCATTTGCATTTCTGTGCGATGCGTCGTCTAATTTTCTGTTTTATTTTATTGCTATACCGTCCGCGAAAAATATTCAACTAGAAATACACGAATGTATCGTCATCGCCGATACCATTACGAATCAACATATCGCCCAGGGTCTCATTACGACTAGTCGTTGCCACAGCAGATGTTTGCACTGCTGCTCTTTCAAATATCGCAATCAATTTCCAGAAAATCTTTCGTTTATTTAAAATACAGGAAATCAGACTTATTGTAAAGAACAATATGTAATCGGCAATAGGGTTAATACAAGCGTTACATAAAATATATCAAAATATCAATATATCGATATTTTCGTATTTTCTTTGTCCAAATATCGAATTTTTCGATATTCTTGATATATTTGCGTTGTCCGTCTTGTAATAAGTGAACCAAGCGCAGACGTAAATAAATGTAATATGGTGAAGACATATTATTCTGACTTTAAAAATGGAACGGCCAAATGTAATTTGTGCCTTAAAGTAATAAAAACAAGTGGTAACACGACAAATATGGCATCTCATATGAAAAACAAGCACTACGATGTTTTTGTAAAGTGCAACCAAAAAAAGGTAAGTACGCCTCATTTAAGGTGGCGTCGCTCTTCTGTGTGCTCGTGTGTTTAATTTTAAAGCCCGCGCTTTCTCAGAATACACAATTGAATTTTATTTACATACGTAGATTGTTTCGCTAAGAAGATTGTTTGTCTAAATAATTAGGTTTCTATTAACTCTGGAGAAAACCAAACAATTGAACAACCTCTCAGGAAGACTGAATCCTTAAAGGGTAAGTAAGGCTTATGTGATAATATTGAGCCATTATGCGCGAGAAATTTACATGTAATCTCTTAACACATGTCAGAGTGCTCGCAATTCATGCTTAAATAACAGTTTGTTTTCAACGATTACAGGAGATTGTTCACCTGATCCAGATACATATACCTCGAGGCCTTATTTTGAGTCAGTAATGTTATTGAAAAACGAAATGAAGCCTAGGAAATCGTGTGGTAATTTGGAAACCAGCTGCTCTAATAAACGGTTAAGTATTCCGGAGTTTGAAGATTCGATAGACCCAGTATTGTCTCAAACCTTGGATGAACAGTGTAACTCCAATGAGAAAGAGGCTTTTACAGAAAAAAGGAAAAGAATTAATATGAACACGTCTTCCCAACTGCTGTTAATTGAAAAGGAAAAATTAAAACTATTAGAAAAAAAAGTCAATGCACAAAAGATCGACGATGACTTGTCTTTTTTTGACAGCCTTCTGCCATATATGAAAACGATGGACATGAAACAAAAATTGCTTTGCAGAATGGAAATTCAAAAGGTTGTTCTTGCCCATCTTGGAGAGTAAAACGATGCAAAATAAAAAATTAATAAAATTAAAAATATTTCTTAACAACTCATTCAAGTATTCATTTTGGTTGTTTTACTATGTGGTATAATCATAAAACCAATACGCTTTGCCAAATATTTACATATTTTGCGACCCAAAGCGGCCTTTGTCATTTATAAAACATGATTTTCCTTAATATTCTGGTTTTCTAGGACTATAAATTTATTGGAAAAAATAGTAAAAAATATATCGGTATTTTTAGAGCTGTATCTAAAATACTATATTGATATTTTTTAAAACTAAATATCATCGACAAATGCTCGACAGCCCAGTAAATAACTGCAACAATAAACTCGAAACATTTCACGCGAAGGCATTATCGATAAGTGTTGCATAGCGACTTTCGATTATTTGCAAGTAGCACAAAGTGCAATCGAAATTTAATTTAATTTTTTTTACACTTATTCAACAAGTTGGTTTAGAACTAAATATTTTATTTGATAAAAAAAAAGCGGAAATGTTTAATGCTAATGCGACTCAGCGGTCATGCACAACCGCGCCAAAAGGCTAGTCAACTGCAGCAGCGAATTACAGCCATCAACAATCTTCATGTGGGTAATGCCAATTTCTCTTATGAAGTTCAACTTCAGCTGTTCGTCCACATTCAACCTCTTGCAGACGCGAAATATATTACCAATAATATCCTCAGGTGCATAGCCAAGGCGCCACAATTTCGCCAAGATTTTGTACGCCTTGTGTATATCATTGCTAGCACAATGTTGCAACATGTCCTGCAACAGCATCGGATGGGGCTCATCACAAACTTTGAAAACATTAGCGCCCGTAATTTCACCGAATCCTTGAGCCGTGGACTGCAAATTATTAAGAGCTTGTCGCATATCGCCCTGTGCCGTAAACACAATCGCCTCCAATCCATCCTCATCGTACTTGAGCTGCTCTAACTGACACACCTCGATTAGCTTGGCTAGAACCTGGGCATCCGATAGTTTACTGAACCTCAGCATGGCACAACGCGATTGAATCGGCTCAATGATTTTCTCACTCGTATTACAGGCGAGTGCGAAACGCGTTGTGTTACTATAGATTTCCATGGTGCGTCGCAGCGATTGCTGTGCACCCTCAGTCATGCTGTCCGCCTCGTCCAGGATGACTATCTTATGCCGGCCGCGGGGCAGCGTGACCTTCTGTTGGGCAAACATCTTGATTTTATTTCGCACTACATCGATTCCACGTTCGTTCGATGCATTCAACTCGAGCACCGCATCCTTGTAGCTGTCGCCCAGTAGAATACGTGCCAGGCACTGTATAGTTGTTGTCTTGCCCACGCCAGGTGGTCCCTGAAAAAGATTTCGCATTATTTATATCATATCTTTAGTTATATTTACAAAGACATTACAGCAATTATTATGTTTGGCGAATTGCCCTGAGTGGAGAAGACGGATAGGCGGGCGACTGTGTCTTCATTGCCTACAATTTCATCGAACTTAACAGGCCGATACTTTTCAATCCAAGGCAAATTATTGCGCTTGTCCACAACCACAATTCCTGTATCCTCTGGCATTTCTCTTTTATTTAATTAAATTACAGTTTTAGGCTCCGAACGCAATTGCAAATATAAAACGCGGGATTCGATTTTTTAGCACATATCGCTTTGACATCAGTTTTATAGCAGTGAACTAATATATTGAAATAGCAACTGTGTTAGCCACACATATCGATTGATTGTGATCGAGTAGTCATTATCGCTGCTCATGATAGTTGTGTGCTCCGTATCGATAAGTGTAGATGTAGAAAAAAATATAGTGAGAATATGGCGAGTCTTGAGGGCCAGCAAGAAAATTATTCGAATAACCCAGCAGGTATGCATTTAAAATGTGAAACAACCAAACAAAATATAACTAGAAAACAGTGCGTGTAAAATAGCCAGTGCAAATATTGAACAAACAATTCGCGTAACAAAGAGCCACGAAAAAAATTTGTTGGTCGAATGGGCAGCAGCAACCAAGACAACGACGACGACGACTCACACTCGAAAAAGCGAACGAAAAAAAAAAGAAGAAGCCAGAAGAAGTGTTTGCTTCATATGGGTGAAATTGCCCCCGTGTGTTTTTTCAAGTTCCTTACAGTGTGGCTGTTTTGCCAGCGCTAAATCCCCCCTTACTGGAGTTTTGAGTTATAAATAAAATTTCGTTCAAAGTTTCCAGAGGAAAAACATTTTCGCCGTCACCGCAGCCGCAGCCAGCGTTTACAGTCATCGTGAGGCAGCAGCTGCGCTGCAGCTGCACATTTGTTTGTGTGTGTGCTAGCATGTGTGTGTATGTGTATGTATGTTTGTCCGTCTGCCGCCGTCAACTTATCAAGTGCGTGTTTTTTCTCCTTGCCCTACAAGTGCAAAACAGAAGCCGATTGATTTTCCTTTTCTTTTTTTGTTACATTCTCATATTCATTTCTTTTTCGGACTCTATCGAGTGAGTGTTCGCAAAAAACTAGTGAAAATTCGTGGAAGATACTTCAAAAAATATATATGTATATAAACAGCGGGGCTGAATGAACTTTTACAACACAGAGTTTACAAATATTTCTTACGAAACCAAAACACAAACTAAAGTGTTTATTTTGCTTTTGTTTTTCTTATTTACTTGCAGTGGAAAACATACCCAAACGACCAGAAAGCCGAGAGGGGAGCGCCGAGCGAAAAGGTAAGACAACGTTTTATACACTACTCTAATTATTTGTGTATATGTATGAGTACGGAACATATGTATATATGATTTAAAATGTACATATGCGACTATTGCATGCTCTTACGGCTCCTAACCAAAACGTAAGGGAAATCGAAATACATACATAATAGTTAAGAATATATATTAATAGGTCGGCTATCTTATAGAGTACACTCGTACAAATATAATGTTATGATATCATACACCAAGGCAAATCATCATAAGAAATCTATGTAGGGTTTCATAATTTTTAATTTTAGCACAAATATATCACATATACTAGAAATAGATAGGAGATATTAGCATTGGCTTTAGTTCTGAAACGCCTTTCTGTTGTTGGGTATGTTGTTTCTAGCACCAAGTTTGCAAATTATTGAATGGCTAAGAAATTGCAATCAGAAAGAATATAATTGTCTGCAACCATCAAGAATATTCTTAACAATTAAAAATGAAGTCTATAACGCTTACGTTACGTAGGTCGCCCGACCACCGCGTTGCATATCTTGTGACAAAAGCCGAATGCTTTAAAAATCCAAGAGCAAATTGAGCAGCGAAATTCTTGTGTCGAGGGGTAAAGCGCGAGTGGGCTGCTAATGCATCTGAAGCTGTAAGCAAGCCCATGGAGCAGACTAAAAAAGACAAACACCAAAAGGTGGGCGACGTACATATATACATACATTTGTATGTAGTTTCATTTGTAATGCGTCGTCGCTGTCGTCTGCCAACGTTCAAGGTTGTTGACTCTGGCATGATCATTCACATTCACATTCACATTCACAGGTGATGATAAGCAAGTTCGCTATCTAAGCGCTGTTACAGATGTGTCTCTAATTATATGCGGATAAAATAGAAACAGCTTGGCCCCGATACAATGCCAGTTGTTGCAGATGGAAGTGTGTGTATTTTCCTTTTGTTTCGAACAATTTGCATTCACAATTACGTCATTGAATTCCATAAATACCAATAAAAACGATAACGCGTTATCGCCCGGCGATTGCCGATTGGCGATTACAACGAATGCGCAGAAAGTTAGTTGACCAATTGCCACTTGGCTAAATTTGAGTAGTTTTTACAATTTCTTGTTTTTGTTTGTCTTTGCATTTTTATTGCCTTTATTTTGCACAATGGCTCAATGTCATTTTAATAAAAAAAAAACAAAAGCAAAAAAAAATCAACTACGCGCTTATATTTTACTCTTTGCCTTATTTGCTCATCGCTTAGCTCTGGGGGCGACCTGTGTGTGAGTGTATATATTTATGTGACTGTATGTGCATTGTTATTGTAGTTTGTTGTCAATTGACCCACATACATACAAAGCGAGCGTACAGCGAGTGACGATGACGTCAGTCGGTGTAAAAGTCGCGCGGCTGTTGTGGCCGGCAAATGCCAAAAAAAGGCAAGTAAACCTAGTTCTGGTTGAGTTCATTCGACTAGCACATACCCTGCAGACAACAATGACAACTAAAAATTAATGTAGCATGAGTAATATAGTTAGTTCTTTTTAGTAACCCAAATTTATTTATTCACAAAAAAATATCTGGCCTCAACTTCATTTATCAAAAGATTTCAATCTACCCAATTTGCAAATTCTTATGGAGTGTAGGGCATTAAAAACAAACGGCAGCATATGAACAATATTGCCGAAGCTTTATCGATTTTACTTTCTTTTTTTTTTGCCACAGGTAGC